GAGAAAAACATTATACCCAAGTGTCTTTCTGGATCGCGATGGGAAGTTATTCAGCAATCTAAAATGTGGATAGATGTCTTGGTGAGCTTCTGTATATCAATTACAAAACACGTGAAGAAGCACCAAGAAGAACTTAAAGAATTCGATTTGTTATTTGGTGATTCACCCCCAGCTTGTCACGTGATCATCGCCGAGTTTCTCGCCCTTCCCCGAATTGATATCGAACCAGCCTTTCCAATGAGACTGAAACCCGAATTAAGTCTAGTGTCATATATTCCCAGCCTATTATCCTCAAATAGTGCTGAAATGAGCTTTATGGAACGACTTCAAAACTTATTTTTTTTTGGAGTCATGAAGAGATCAGAAATGTACTTTTCTACTCGTTACGGGGAGCTTAAAACAGAATTCAATATTATGCCAGAAAGACATTTCCAGGTCTCCATTCATATGGCGGAGATGACCATTATCATGGGCCACTTTGCACTGGAATATCCTCAACCACTTTTACCAGGTATTACAACACACACTCAACTACTACTTCATATATAATAACATGTGTGCAAATAATGTAAGTCATCTACTGGAAACCAAGTAGTGCAGCCATCCTATGTTATTACTTTTAATTCCCACAAGGAAATGGAGAAATATCGGACGTTTGGACAAATTTGCAGGTTCAGTGGTAGACCAAGCTGCATGCGAATATTTCTCCAACATTTCCGGCATGTCTCCAAACAAGCTAGTTCAATAAAGCATTTATTATCATAGTTCTTGTCAATCTACGGCTAAATTGATACGTTTCTGTTATGCATTCTCGGTAAACGTGGGCGAAGGGTAAGCAAATTTATCCACGTTTCGCTTGTCACTGTTGTAAACATTTAACTGAATATTTTCCTCGAAACATGAAGGTAAAAAGATTTTTACCTAGTAACAAAAACTGTTTATTTTCTGTAATGAATCGGAAAGCGGTTCGCCAAAATCAATTTGTGAGCCGGTTCATCCTAGCGGCCCGTATTGCAAAAATTGGACTGCTATAAGGGAACCAACCAGACTTCTCCTTTAGTTTGCAGACCATTCAGCCATATAATTTTATTTATTACATGTAACACATTTACGGTTTGATATTTTTACTCAATCATGCCTCAAATCACAGCAACCAAACTAGTGGGACCGTTAACAGTGAAACCCCCAAGTCCACTTCCACAAGACCTGCAGCAGTTTATCAGTGGAGCAGGAGACAAAGGGATAATACTGTTTTCATTAGGAACACTCGGGGATGCAGTGTTGCAGAAACACCAAGTGGAAATGTTGGTCGAAGTTTTCGGAAGACTGGAGCAGAGAATAATATGGAGATTAAAAAGTAGGTCCTGGAAGAAATTTGCTCTAAAAACAAATAAGAAGAAAATTCTTGAAAATGACAAAGGGCTACGCAGTGCAATGTCGCTTGTGACACGGCTCACAGTTTTTCAAGCTGTAGTTGAGAAGTTGACATTGTGTACAAGTTGCAATGTTGAAACACTGGCAAACCTTGTCCAGGCGTATTGATTTTTGAGGTTGATAACAATAGTTTCCAGGTCTTTCCACCACTTATACTTTAACAAATCAATACTGGCACTCGTTTGTGATATGATCCTCCGATACTGCTATTACAGGAATTTACATGTCCAATCATTAATAAACAAGTTTTGGTCATTCTTTCATGTAACAGGTTATCTTAGCATCGGCAAAGTCTGTTAAAAACACACTTAATTTTACCTTCAAGTGCTCATAACTCAAAAACAAGCTCGGTGAATTCCCCATTTTTAGTTCAGAGTGCACTATTGGGATGGTTTTGAGAGCTGGCGTCCGCTAAACCGATTACTCGCCAAGACGTTAACTTTAATGCTTGTTTAATTTAGTAATATCAGTTTATCAATTGGCCTTGTGGCCGATTGGTGGGGTGGAATAGGTACCTATGTGCACCACGTAAAACGTGATTCACCTTCCTCAATTCTCTTATAACATCAAAGCTATTTGACATATCGAATGTGGTTTAGCGTTGCCTGTACTCTTATAGACAACGATATGCGTCATCATAGTGGTCAAAATGTTGTGGACTGGTCAGAAAATAAATTTTCCAATCTGTAGCTCAGCAAATTCGTGGTGGCCATAATTGGTTGTCAGAAAACAAACTTTCCGTGTTGTATAACTCGCCAAAAGGCCGTGTTTTGTGGCCAGAATGGTTAATTCACCTTTTTCATTTGTGAAAAAGAGATGGAAATTCGAGCAATGTAAACAAACACAAAACATTTGACGACGCGCTACAAACGTTGGCGTGAAAAGTGAAATTGTCAGGTTTGCAAATTCAACGTATTATTGAATTTAAAATTGAAAACAAAACAAAAAATCAAATCAAAATCAATCAAAATCAATCAAAATCAAAAACACCAGAGTAAAATTTAAAAGTTGTCGTGAGAAACAGTTATTGTAAGTAATATTTGGACCTTGAATGAAAATACACACATGAAACATACACACTGCTAATTAAGATTGCGTCGTATCGAGGTTGCTGCCCCTGCCCTATCTGACCACCAAGGTGAATACAAACCGGAAGTGAACCGAGCAGGGGTGACATTGTATGTGACTACTGTGTCAGAGCTAACAGCTGTATCTGAAATTGTCTCACTATTTTTATTATGGAAATGTGATACGTTTGGTCAAATGAATCTTCTTAGGAAATATTAAAACAGTTCTGTCATAAGGGTTTAAAGCCACCTTAAAATTTAGATTTTTTTTTTAATTGTTTCAAACTTATTTCTCCAGTTCATACTTACTGCTGACAATCACCGTCACTGAAAAAGCCCCTCCTATCTGCCACAATTTAAAGTAAACGAGTACTAAGATCGACAACAAAGGATATATTGCACTAGTTGTGTTTCAGCACAAGCAAGTGATTATCGACTCATCAAGCACTGCGCATTGACCGTCGCAACGGATGGTAGTGAAGATCTCCTAATTCACTGCCTAACAAAAGCCGACCAAGCTTGTGCAGCAGGCCTAGACCTGCTAAAGGGGTCGCATTACATAGTTCGTCAAGAAATACACGATTCTTCTGAGACTTCTAAGGGGCTGACACATACAGGAGACCATGACCCTGGAAATACAAATATTAGAACAAACGATCAAATCTGACCACGATTTGGGAAAAATTAAGTAAGCGTCCCTCCACGATTAAGCGCCTCCCTCGAATAAGCGCCCCTAGTCTTCTCCCAAATTTCAAATAAGCGCCCCGGGCGCTAATTCGTGAATTTACGGTAGTTTCCTAACTCCACGTAATAAATTCTCTTTCCATTGAAGGGCATATTCCAGAAGATCTTTCCTCGAACATCAAAGTTCTCCCATGGATTCCTCAGAATGACTTATTAGCCCATAACGGCACCAAAGCCTTTATATCACACACAGGTCACAACAGCTTATATGAAGCAGCTTTCTATGGTGTGCCACTGGTTTGTGTGCCAATTTTTGGTGACCAACCTAGTAACTGCATCCAGGCTCAAACGGTTGGCATGGCAATTGGTGTCGATTTAAAGACGGTGACTGGTGATGAAATGTACCAGTCAATATGGCGAATCCTAGAGGAACCAAGGTAATTCTGATTCTTTGCCGTCACTGTTTAAGGAAACTGTTACAAACCGATTGTCATATATTTCCCTTCAAGAAACTAAAGATAGAATCAGTATATATCCTTTACGCGATGAGCCATATTTCAATAAATGAGTTAGATACTGCGAAATTGTTGGAAAGAAGAACGTATATGCAAAAATATTTAGCCAGAACCTCCCTCACAAGGTGACAGAGATGATCATCGTTTATATGTATTTCAGGGATCGAAATTCTTAGTTTGATATTGTTTAGCTTTTTATCATCTTGTCATCATTCTGGAAGTTGCAAAAGATTATTAAGATTTTATTTTTATTAGTTTCAATTTAGCTTTAGTTTTAAGCAAGGTTTCGATGGGAACAACGTCTGATAATGAAATGATACCTTTTGGAGTGAAAATAAATTTAGGTTTCGCCCGCAGACGGGTTTTGGTGCCTTTTAAGAGTCAAAATGGAACCCTTTCCCGGAGACCTATGATTCCTTGGCAACAGGTTATCGACTACTACCACAGTCGCGTCCATATTCAATTATGGTCAGATTTGTAAATCAATAACTTCGAATTTTAAGCCTTGAAAGTCTTCGGTCTCTTTATTAATCTGTATGTGTTTGCCTTTTCTCTTTAGCTTTAAGGGTAACGCTACTCGCATCTCGCGATTGATGCGTGACAATCCGCGAACTTCCGTTCAGCAAGCCGCTGACTGGATTGAATATGTCCACAGACACAAAGGAGCCAAGCACCTCAGACCGGAAGTGTATAATCTCCACTGGTGCCAATATTACCTCTTGGATGTAGTTGCATTCCTTTTAACTGCAATTTTTGCATTTTGCTTTGCAATTAGAGTGCTTTTTAGACTGTTGTGGAAGATTGTTACCAAGCTTGCGAAGGGTAATAAGACCTCGAAGCAAGAATGAGAACTGCTTCAAAGACAAAACATTACACTGTTAGTAGTTGTGATTTAATTTTACAACCATGGCTTCTTTGGTGCTTGTTTCCAAATTGTTGTCAACAATGCAATCCCATTGAGACAAGGAGGACTGAAATGGGGGAGAAGGGGAGGTGTGTCTTTGCACAAGGAACTTGAAATTCCTATTGTAACCGCTTTTCGGCAGACATGCAACTTCATCCTTTCTTTTCTTTCTTTTCTTTTTTTTTTTTATAATTAAAGACAACTTTGGTTATCGTTTGTTAAAGGCGCGGTGATCTAATGATTAGTACGCTGACTACGGATCAAGCCGTCCACGTTCGAGTCCTGGTCGGGGACATTGTGCTGTGTTCTTGGGCAAGACACTTTACCCTCACAGTACCACATAGGGGTGTAAATAAGTATCTGCGAATTTAATGCTGGGGTAGCCCTGTGATGGACTAGCATCCCATCCAGGGGAAAGTAGAAATATTCCTGGTTGCTTCATGCTCCAGAAATTGGAGATACATGCCGGCCTAATGGACCACTTGGCTCGTACACAGACTTGGTCTTAGCTATTTTGTTTGTTTGTTTGTTTGTTTGTTTGTCTGTTTGTTTTTTTTACTTTATTTTGATTTTGTTTTTCAAATTGAAGAAATCCAAGACAGCAGATTGCGCCAGTTAGAAACGATTCCATTCAATTCTACGACATATTACGCCAGTATTTTATGTTATTGATTGTGGGACGTGCTATGAAGCTGTCAAGTTACAGGGTGATTGGTCTCTGAATCTATTCCCCCCCCCCCCCCCCCCCCCCCCCCCCCCCCCCCCCCCCCCCCCCCCCCCC